ATGATGATTTTCCTAAAATTGAATTGTTAGATTCCGCGCCTTTTCCGAAAGGACAACGCTTCTTTCCTACTGACTAGTGCCTTTTCGTGCTTCACCTTTACTTGTGCCAGTAAACGCTCCACTCCGAAGGTCCGTTCCTTCTTCTCGCTGTGCTAGCACTGTTTGTGCCCGCGTCACAGCTGGGGATTTGTGCGCTCACCCTTAAGTTACGCATAGTCGTTGATTATCCCGTTCAGATACATAACAGTATCCCACTGAAATTTCGCCAACTGCCTATACCTTAGAAGGGGGCGAGATGGCCCAAGTTGTTAGAACGCGAGTTTACTGACCGGAAGGTCCTTGGTTCGAATCCGACCTCCGCCACTCGACTTCCCCTGTCTAGGCTTGGGCAACCTGGCAGTATCCCAGCCCTCGTGCTTCCTTCGGATGACATGGCAGCTAGGCACCGGAAGGGTGCTACAGCTGAACGATATACCTTAGAAGATATCAGTCATTCATCAGCTTCACATAACATTTTCCACCTTCAGCGGACATGAAATTATACGTCTTGTTGTTTGTTTAGCCTTTACCCCACAAAACTCCCACCTTCATCACAGTCCTTGACAGCAAGACAACAGCAATACATACTGCCGCTCGACTCTCGCCTTCTACTTAAGCAGAGTTTTACCTGCCCAACAATCAGTCCAGTGAAACACTTTGAATGACTCAGTCCTTGTACTGGTGGATGAATTCGTATCACACAACATCCCTTCACTTCATAAGACTCCGGCCCGGTCGTAGGCGATCAACCCAGGATTCCATATCTGCCAACAAACGAGTTGGATCAAGTACCATCCCTCCCAAACGAGGTAGCATTGACTACGCCATCCTACTCTAAGATCTCCAGAAACATTTCCGAATCATTAGAAATGAGCTGCACCAGTGTTTTGGCAGATAGCTACTTCTGTAGCTCGCTCGCAGAACCGAAAAACCACGATGGATCACGACTAATGCGCATCTCGGTACAACCATATGCGCTGACCAGAATATCCTCACGACTAGACTTGCCACAGATCTAAGAACCCCTGGTTTTAAGAGTAACACTTGGCTTACGAGGTACCGAGCAGTTTTTATGCTGGTTTACCTCTTCAGAACGCCACGGAACAACGCATCTACTCAGACATCCTCTGGATAGGACAAAAGGCCACTTAAAAGTAAATTCAACCGAGGCTGAATCCAACAGAAACCGGAAAACTTTTCGTCCACAGCGGTCAACTACCAACACGACTGAAAATGGTGGAAATTCATCCAAAAACCCGAACAAATCGGATTTCTTTTGACAACTCAGGTAAGCATACTACACCATCAGCCAATCATCGAGTCACCTACCCATTCATAACTGAGGTTGGCGTCATGTCTTCTGACATAGTAGCCAGATTACTTGGGTCTTGGTATACCCACCGAAGGCCCACGCCTTGACACCTTGTTCGGGGATCAGTACCATATCCACGGACTTATTGGATGACATTCAGAAGCCCGGAACAATCCCTCAGAACAAGACCCACCAGCAGCCGACGATAGGCAAATAATAGTAATAATACTAAACTTTCGGCGACTAGCTGCTACAGCAAACGAAGGAAGTGCGAGACCTGAGACACTGTCAGGTTGCCGAAGCCTGGACAGGAGCAGTCGAGATGCCGAGGGAGGCATTGAACCATGGACCTTCCGGTAAGTTCACGCCTTAAATTGAGTTGTCTCAATGTACGAAGGCCAGCCGCCCCTAATAACCGAACATCACATCATTTGGACGGATGTGTCACGTACAGGACACGGACCTAACGAAGCCATGCCCTGATTAGTCAGAATGCCAGCCAATTCGAGTCGAGCATCTTTGACTCGACGCTTCTCGCCACCTCGCGGGGATTCTGGCACTCTGTGACTAACCTATAAATACAGTTATAATGACTTTTCTTTGTTCCCATAAAGGGCTGTGTAGAGCTACTGTGCCTTTTGTGGGCGGAGCAGGAAACCAAGGGAACGAGTTGCACGATCGTTAACAAGACAAAACACTCAAGCACATGAGCTATCCCGAACTCACGTTCAGTTAATGATTTCCACGGAATTATTTCAGTGGCTCTCGCTACTTCGCCTAAGCAAACGCGGTACAAATGATCACAATCTTCTCCCCAAACCTAAAAAACGATTAGATGCCAGCTCTGGGAAAATGGACGCCTAAAAATCCACCTAGATAGAAAGCCCACCTCGCTCTCCTACTAGTTTATTTTGCATGCTGGGACTGGACTGCACTCTTCGAAGTACCCTGCTCTTGTGAACACCATGAAATCTCGCCGCTATTACGGAAACCCAGACGTCGCTTGAGACGTACGAGACGAGACTCCGAACAGTCCCTTCTCGAATTCACCGGTGTTCACACGGATCGGGAAGTCGATAGTATCTTTAGTCAACTTGCACCACCTGTGACACCAGCTTATCTGCCAAAGGTCGATTTTACGATGCTACAGTACGCTCCGTTTGTCACATGGGTGAGAAACTTGGCA